TGTCCGGAAAGCATATTATAAGTCCAGGTCAAAGCATCACCGCCACGCTGCTGATTTGCGCGGGCGGTCTCAGCCAAAAGCTCTTGCCATAGGCTCTTCCAATTTAGATATGATCCGATGTTAGGGAGAACAGCCTTCACCACAAATTGCCAATCAGAGGGAGTCATATTCATTCCCCCCATACGTTCTAACAGGGACAAAGTGTAATTGGCATGAAGACCGTATTGCTTTACAGACATGGCCAATTCTCGCACTAATGCTGCATCTACCTGTCTGTGAACTCTTTCCCTTTCTTCTTCTAAGACGGGGAACATATCTTGAAGTTCCCGGCGCGCGGCTGCATCGATGAAGGAAGAGCCGGCACCATAACTCATGGGCGGGGCAGATGGCGTCACAGGAGGAGGAGCCATTGATGAAATGGCTCCAGAGTCCTGAGGCCATGGGCCACGCGTGGCCGGCGCAATAGCACCGTCATTATCTTTCTTCTCCTTTTCTAATCCTTGTCTATTTCCTGCAGGTTTACGTTCTAAGCGCCTATCCCACTTATACCCTTCCTCAGCGTCGGAAGTCTCCGAACTTGATGAGGAAGATACTGCTTTAAGTTTCACCTTTATTTTTTGCTTCAAACCGGTTCTCCTCTCCCGCTCTGTTTCTGAGAGACTATCCTGGGCAGACTGAAGGGCTTCATCACTCTCTCTGACCGCTCCCTTATGCGGGGCATAAACCATCTGCAAAAATTTCACCAGAGAGACCTGTGCGCCCATGTCTATAACCAGAAGCGGCGGCTCATATACCTCCGATTTATGCTCCTAGTCACCCGAAAGTTCTCCCTCTCAGAGCTCCTTACCTGTTTTATGGCCGCAGTTCTGACTCCGTCCCGTTTTGAACGGGAGGCTCCCTCCAGGTCCCGGGTATTCGGCACCAGTTGTCGCGCCCACGTGTCTTACCGCCCAGCAATAAGACGCAGACGCGTGTGAAGTCTCCTGCGGTAAAATTTATTGTGCACACTAACATGAGGAAGGAAGCGTGAATCCCGGCAGGCTTCTACTCTTATGTGCTGTCTGGCCCCGCCTCCGCCGATGATAGGTCGGCGTCATGATTACGCAGGGTTCTGGGCGACTGGATTCGTCAGTCCCAGTGTTTACGTGCCTGCCGCGCCGCAGCTCACTGCGCATGCGTTAGGCGCATGCGTGGTACTGCCAAAGCTACGTGACTATCCACCAGGCACCAAGATCTAGCCTCTCTGGCCGGCGCCATTTTGGGTACGGCATGTAACCAGTATATACAGATATGGCTGGCAACAACTCTCCTCTAGACAAGGCCTTCTGACATGCCTGGGTCGCACACCGGACAAGCCGGATGTGACCATCTCTGGGGCCTGGACACTGCTGAGGTGCAAGTGTCTCCAAGGCTGACCTTGGCCTCCAGCCGACTCCGGTCACCTACAGGCCAAAGTAAGCAAGGCCCTGGCTAACTTGGATCCAGCCTCCTTCCACTAACAAAGCTGATCATGGGTTTCACAGGACCCAGGTTCTATTCCGAGCTCTGTGGGGGTGTCACTTCATTCACCTCTCCCCGAACCCCAGGAGGTGGAGCCTTGGGGGTCTCAGCTTCCTCAGCTGTGCAATGAAGACATTCCAAGGAAAACGACCATCTGATCATTGTTGTACAGGCCCTATGTGACGCTCCAGGAGGCTAAGGAGCCTGCTCGGGGCCACACCTCATTAACAAGGGCCTAGGAAGCAGGTGTAGCTTTTGGTGCGCAGACTGCCCTGCCTCTTGTCCTGTTGCTAGAGGCAGGCGCTCAGCTCAGGGCCAGCTTGCTGAGCTCCGCCGGATGCAGCATCCAGGTTTTTGCCAAGTCTCTCTGTTGTCTGCACATCCCTCCTCCTCCTCCTCCATCGGGTTGGTGTCTCCCTAGACTTCCCACCCCCCACCCTGCAAACACCCTCAAAACAGGCTCAGATCCCCCTCTGCAGACTTCAACCTTCTCAGCTGGGCTTCTCCAACTTTAAACTCTCACTCTGATGCGGGGAGTAAGCCGGGCCTCCCAGGCCAACAGGGTTCTCATGATCCCTGGCCACACCAGGCCTGGCTGGCACAGGGCAGACCTCTGGGGGTTTCTGTTAGACGGTCGGGAGCTGAGTGTGTCTCAGAGCCAAGCCGGAGTGCAGGATGACCGGCAAGGCAGCCTGCACCCCAAGGTGCACACACGTGCACTTGACATGGGCCAGGCTTTACCACCTGCCAGAGCTGCTAGTCCCTTGGCCCTGGTTCTGTTTCTACTCTTCCTACCCCACAAAGTGTGCCAGCTAGGAGCTCAGCCCCACGGGGACCTGTATCACCCACAGGGTCAGTGCAGACTTCTCGCCTTGCCAGTTTGTTTACTCAACAAGATTGCTTGCACACGGCAGTGAGCCAGGCACCGTGCTTGGTGCCGAGCACAGAGAAGAGCGAAGCCGGCTGCTCCTGGCCTGGTTGGCCTTACATCCTGGTAGAGGAGACAGCGAGTTGGTACAGAAGCAGGGACGCATGGCAAGTTCTCCAAAAAGGGGAAGAATGGAGCCTTGGAGATTGTTCAAGTACCATAGTCAGGGAAGGCTTCTTGGAGGAGGTGACATTTAAGGCAGGGTCTAAGACTCTGAAGACTCAAACACAGGCAAGAGCATTCTGGACACAACGGAACAGCATGTGCCAAGTTCTGGAGGCAGGATTCCTGAGGAAGTGAAGGTGGGCCAGGAAATGAAAGTGGAACATAGGTTCGGTGCGGGGGAGGGGGGGAGCATAGATTTTACTTAAAACAAAAAAAGCTTTAAAAATATCATTTGAAAGGCACAGTGACAGAAAGAGATCTTCCATCTGCTGGGTCACTCAGAAAATGGCCCTAATGGCTAAGGCTGGGCCAATTCCAAAGCCAGGAGGAACTGAGAGCTTCATCCGGGTCTCCCAGTTGGGTAGCAGGAGTCCCAACACCGGGGTCACCTCCTACTGCCTTTCCAGCAGGCAGCTGGATTCGAAGTACAGCAGCTGGGGCTTGAGTCGGAGAGCTTGACTGGGGCTTGAGTCGGAGAGCTCAAGCTCGCAGAGGGGATGCCAGCCCTTGACTTTTATTGTGAGTGTAAGTACAATCCTAGAAAACAGCAACTTTTTAACCAGGGCTGATACAATATGACCTGCACAGAGCCAGCTGCCTCTAGCTGCTGTGGGAACTGCTAAAGCACGAGAGAAAGCCCTCAGGAGCCCACGGCAGTGGCCTGAGCCACATCCACTGGAGGTTTCCAGAAGAACTAAAAAGCCTTGCTCGGTATCTGCAAGGACCCCCATGCTGGGGTGGGGGTTGGAGAAGCAGTCATGAGCCATAGGAGCGGCTGGGACGTGGGAAGTGCTGGCTCACTGCTGCCCCCTATCGGCGGTGTCTGCGCACTGCGGAGACCGGGTACCAGCAAACCCATTTTTTAAGCCCCGACAAGGATCAGATCCTAGATTCTCAGGTTTGGAAGCTTCCAGGCTTGTAGTACTGCCTTGGCATCCAGGGGGCAGTGGAGAAGGAGAAAGAAGAGTTCTTTTTGTCGCGAGTGGCCATTGGTGAAGGAGGCGATGCCTTGCTCCCGACCCTTCCCCTCCCTTACAGGGATCTGTGTGAGTGCCCTGCCCCCATCCCAGCGTCTCCGGTTCCCCTGCAGTGATCACTCCACAGGTGGGGGCTCTGAGGGAGCACTCAGCAGGAGGGAGGGCAGCTGCCCCCCTTTCTCCAATGGCCTGCCCCCCTGAAAGGGCTCTCTCCCTATACTGCCCCACCTTTGGGCACCAAAGGGACAGGGTGGGAGGGCCTCCCCAGGTTTTGTGGGGTCTGCCAGGTGTGCATCAGACAGCGAGGGGCGGGGCACTGAGATGCCCTGTCCTGGGGAGCAGGTCTTCCACCCAAAAGCCCAGAAGCACTTCTGCACTCCATCAGCTGGGGTGGCTGGCCTGGTCCCACCGAGCACCAGGTCTGCTGCTCTCTGGAGCCTTGGTGGCCCTTGTCCCAGCGCGGAGTTGGGTGCTAGGCGGTCCTCTGGGCACCAGCTGTGGGGAATCAACCCACAGGTGACCTTGTGGCGCTGAGCCGCCTTGCTGTCCTTCCTCCCACTTGGACCCATTTGTTTTCGTCCAGTCCGAAGACCCTTGGCTGCTCCGGCAGTGTGGGTTCTGGGAGCTGCATGTAAACCAGGCAGCGTGGCCAATGGGGGCAAGTTCCAACAGGAGCCCTCGCCATCAGGTGGGGCAGCGGCCTCTGTACACTGCAAGGGGCAGGCAGCGTGGTCCGACGCCTGGGGGTGAGGACAGAGGACACCAGCTCACAGTCTTACTGCTGCTGTCCCCACAGCTTCGGGGTGCTTGTCAGGCACTTGCAGGGGGCAGTGCCTGCCGGGCTCCTGGTCTTCATGACTTGGTTGTAGCAGAGAAAGCATTTGTCTTGTGGTCAAGGAAGGCAGGTAGGAAGGAGCAGAGAAGGCTCCCAGGATGGGGGTGAGGGGGCCTCTTGTGGCCCCTGCTGAGTTGAAATGAGGCAGGCAGCCGCTCTGTCTAGGCCCCTTGCAGCAGAGGCTGCAACTGATGAGTCGCTGCCCCTAATGGGGCCTATCTTCTCGGCAGAGGACACCTGCCTTGGGCACGGCACCTGCAGGCTACAGCTTTGACCCCTGACCCAGGAGTCATAACCGCTGCCCTCCGTGTGTTGGGCAGGAGCTGGAGCTGGGCACAGTCCCCTCCCAGGACTCATCTGTGCAGGGAGAGCTGGGACTGAGCCTTAAGACCAGAGTGGCTCCAGGACAACTGGGTGGGCAACTGGGAAAGGCAGAGAGGAGGTGAGACTGAGGGAGAGATTTCTTCCAGTGGGCGAGGGGGTGCCTTCACATGGGAGCAAGTCCAGCGAGCGAGGCAGAACAGGCTACTGGAAAAAGACCCTTCCTTACTCCTGTGGATGGTGGGGTGGGGAGTGCAGAATGGGGAGAACCAGCTCATAAAGTCCCAATTTCCGTGATTTCCGAGACCCAGGAATGGTAGCGCATGGCACCTCCTGCAGGCCTCCCGGCAGGCCCCAAGGCAGACAGGCTGGGTGTGGGACTGGCCAAGTAAGACGCAGACCCCACAGCTCCAGGAGAGGCAGGGGAGGCTGGCCGCAGGAGGGGAGCCACGTGGCTGCTCCTGGAAGCCCTGCTGCTGGGGCCCATGAGAACAGGGGCGGCTGGCCTCTCCAGGGCATGGGCCCTTCGGGTGGCCGATGCCACTCGGCTGGGCAGCAAACTCCTCCGGGCTGGCAGGATGGTGCCAGTGGCTCTGCGCATGGCAGGGCTTCGGAGGGTAGAGATGGGGTAGGTGGGAGAGGAGGCACTGGGGAGGATGGGGCTAGGGGGCACTCTTCCCAGGATGGCAAGCTGATGGCTCAGGGCTGGCAACCCCGGACAGCTATGGAAGAAGGACCAGGGCCAGGCGGGGAAGGCCAGGGGAGCAGCAGGCATGGGAGACGGCTCCATCTCAGCAGCGTAGCTGTTCAGGTGTGACAGGAGGCGAATCCGGACGGGGTCCGCGCGGCTGCTGGGTCCTTCCAGGGCTCCTAGGTACCTGATGACCTCAGTGAGGCACTCTCGGAATCCAATGCTCCGGAAGTCAACTGCCAGGGCTCGGGCATCCAAGAATCCTACAAGGTGAGGAAGAGTGAGGGCATACAGGTGGAGGGAGGGACACCGAGTCTGCCCCACCCTGGCCCTGCCTAACTTCCGACATGTCCCTTCCTCTCTCTGAGCCTCCAGTCTCCCCATCTGAGAAGTGGGAATGAAGTCCCCTACCTAGGATGGAGGGTGCTTGGCAGCTAAGGGTCAAAAATGGGTTCAGGTCAAGTGTCTGTTTATGGGTCTGTGGATGCACTGAGGTAGACCTGGCCAGCCAATAGACCTTGAAAGATTTACACAACCCTGGGGCTTTGAACAAAGCCACCAACAGCTTTATAGCATCAAAACCACTCAATAACGCCCCTAACACTTTTCCATGATTGCCTATCTCTCAGTCACCTCTGGGCAGACAGAACTCTGTGAGTCGGCACTGGCCCCATGAATGTAACAGTGAATATCTAGTCCCTGGTATAGAGCTGAGATGCCCACTGAGCATCACTGGGGGACAGGTTGGCAGGTGACTGTGTTTGGATCAGGACAACTTACAGATGAGCCCTTGCCCTGCTTCACATGGAAAGCAAATCCATTTCCCTTTCTACCTTTGCTGACTTTTCTGAACACCTGATTGCACTATGTGATTTAATCCTCATAAAGCCCTCTTATGATTGTTTTTAGAAATGATGTAATTAAAGAAGAGAGACGTTAAATGATCTATCCAAAGTCGTAAAGTTAGTCAAAAGAGCCAGGATTCAAACCCAAAGCCGTGCTCCAAACCACGATCCCCTGCCTTCCTCGATAGCCCTGACCTGGTTGACAGCCCCCACCTTCCAGGCTCCCGTGAGAATCGAACAGGATGATGGATGTGAAAGCATGCCACCCACATAGTAATCACCACATTTCTCATAATAGGATAACCATAAATTAATTTGAACTCTTCCCCTCTCGTTTGATTGCAGACAGCGGCCTCTACTAGTGGCAGCACATTCCTCCTGCAGCAGCTCCCCGCAGAGCCACCTGCCTCAGGATTCTGAGGCCCGTGGCTTCACTTGTCCCTCGATGATTGCACACTGAGGCTTTAAGAAGCACCTGATTGGGCTGTTTCCCTCCCTCCCTCCCTCTCTTCTTTCCTTAACATTTATTTATTTTTATTGCAAAATCAGATATACAGACAGGAGGAGAGACAGAGAGGAAGATCTTCTGTCCCATGATTCACTCCCCAAGTGGCCGCAATGGCCGGAGCTGAGCCGAGTCGAAGCCAGGAACCTGGAACCTCTTCCAGGTCTCCTATGCAGTGCAGGGTCCCAAGTTTTTGGGCCATTGTTTGCTGCTTTCCCAGGCCACAAGCAGGGATCTGGATGGGAAGTGGGGCTGCTGGGATATGAACTGATACCCACATGGGATCCCAGCACGTTCAAGGTGAGGACTTTAGCCATTACACTACTGTGCCAGGCCTGGTTGGGCTATTTCAAAAGTACCTGTCAGGGCAAGCATTTGGTACCACAATTAAGATGCTGCTTGGAATACCTGCATCCCAGAGCAGGGTTCAATTTCCAGCTCCCTGTTAATCTGTACTCCAGGAGGCAGCAGGTGATGGCTCAAGCATCTGGGTCCCTGACACCCCCATGGGAGACCCAAGATGAGTTCCAGGCTCCAGTTTTGTCCCAGATAAGCCCTAGGCTGTTGCAGGCATTTGGCGGGAGTGAGCCCATAGATGGCAGATCTGGTTTTTGTGTATGCCTTCTTACCTTTCAAATAAAATTAAAAAAAAAAACACCCTCTATATATTTAAAATTAATAAAAGATAAAACCTGTAAACATCCACTCCTGGGATAGTTAGGCCTTGGATACCTAGGTCATTGTGGCAAAGGTCTGTGGAGCATCCAGGGTTTCCGGATTATGAAATTGCCAACAGGAAGGAAAGCCTCATGCAGACAGAACTTCTACTTGTCTGGAATTTTTTTCAGAGCTGCCGTTCCTAAGGGACTAGGGTCTGAGATACACTGATGCTCCCAAGATAAGCAAGCCATGAGCACTGCCAAGGGCAGCCTCACAACTCAGACGGCGGGACCAGGGAAACGGATGTGACTGTGAGTGTCAGGCAGGCTCCTGGCTGGCTTCAGGTGGGTACAGTGAGGCACCCCAGGAAGGACTGGCTTGTGGGGGCTGACTCCCACACCCTCACGCCCACCTGTGGAGGAGCAGGGCCAGTCCTGTTTGGATGCTGTGGTGCAGAAGAAAGCTGCCCCCACCCGGGGACTGGAAGGTGCTGAGTTGAGCAAAGGGTTAGGACAAGGGGAGGAAGAGTCTCCCTCTTTGGGGACCATGAATCCTGACTCCTCCAGGGCCTGCCTGTTGCACACAGTCGGGAAGAGCACGGGTACCTGTGCCTCCGGTGGCATGCAGCATTTTCAAGTGATCCACTGTCATCTGTAGGACCTCGGCCTTCTCTAGCTTGGAAGAGCCCTGTGAGGACAGAGGTGGGCAAGTGAGTTCCGTGGCTCGCCTCCCCTGTCCTGTTGTCACTGTCTCCACTCTCCCAGCCTCCTCCCACTCTGCCACTGTCTGCAGTTGAGCTGCTTCTTCAGCCAGTCTCTCCATCAGCTTGTTCCCCGCACCGCCGACCCTCTTTCCGGCGGCCACCTTTCCTTTCCGGGGCTGCATGATGTCGCCTTCTGAGTCCTCCTGCCGCCATACCTCTGGCTCTGCCTGGCCCTGAGCGGCTGCTGGCCCAATTCTTGCTCCACCTGCTGGCAGTTAAGCTGTCCCTTGTGGCTTTATGGCCTTCATTCAACTGAATCCTCAACAGACAGCCATAAAGCCACAAACCCCCAAAGCTCCCATGCAGCGGTGACCCACTCGGCAAGCAGCAAGCACGGCGCCTTATCTGCCCTAAATGCCTGGCTTGGCGTTTCCTGTGGCGCCATCAGCTGCTGAACACGCATACCTGTTTCTCAAAGGCGCTGGGGACCAAGCGCCGCAGTTCAGACAGGCTGCTGTTGATGCGGTCTCGGCGCCGTTTCTCTATGATCTGAGACAGGCAAGACAGTGTCAGCAGGTGCTTCGTCAGGAAGCCAACCGGCCTCATGGACATCAAAACATTTTTTCCCCTCTTAATGTTCCTGTGTGGGAGGGAAACCTGGTCTTGCTTTATGGAAGAGGAAACCAAACTCAGGAGGGGATAATGATTTGCTCATGGCCACACAGCAAGACAGTGCAAGGCTAGAAGCAGAACTCGACCTCCAATCTTGGTCTGTAGCAGGTAGTATTCCATAACAGCAGATGCCCAGCTGTGCCCCAACCAATCAGAACAGAGACATGAACCCTAGCCCTGGGCGGGAAGTCTGGGCAGCTGCTTCGTCCAGCCTAAGACCTCTCCTTCAGACGATCATCTTGCCTATTCCTCTCACAGTGCCATAAGGGGATACTGAAGCCAGGGCAGAAATCATGATCCCATTTCACAGATCAAGAAAATGGAGGCTGGTCTGGAGAAGGATGTGGCCTAAGGGGTCCTGGCTGGTCTCTGGGTCCCCAGAGCACAGAGGGGGCGGGGGTGTGTTGGATTGGGGAGTGAGGCAGAATGGACAGAGAGCAGCAAGCTGGGGGCCTCCTCCCGCCTCCGGTCCCTGCCTCAGCCCTCATGCCCAGAGAGACAGAAGCTGGCATCTGTGTGTTGTGGGGAGAGGGGGGCACTGTTGACTGCTCACTATCCAGGCACACAGGGGAGGAAATGGCGTAGAGAGGGACAGTGGCTTGCTCCAAGTCCTCAGATCACTCCCAGGGGAGTCAGGATTTGAACCCACGCCATTCATCTTCAGAGTCAAATCTGTGAAGAGCCCCTGGGGTTTCAGGACAAACCTCTGTTGGGGGTTGGGGCGATAACAGACACACTCACCCCACGGCGCTTCTTCCTGGCTTGCATCTGTGAAGGGCTGGGGGTGGACAGCGGCCTGGCCATCTGGCTGCGGGGGACAGGCAACGGGTAAGGGGGGGGGGAGGAGAAGGCTTTTCAGAGCTGGGGGGATCATCTCCCTGGCTTGGGCTGGCCTGGGAGGCTGGGCTCTCCAGCTGGGAAGAGCGGCCAAGCGACAAGGGAGGGGCAGGGCGTCTGCTCCCTTCCCCCTCACTCCCTCCCCCGCAGGGCCCATCTCTCCCCCAAGCTCCCAGCTTTCACCAGCCTCTCAGTTCTGCGGGACTTTTGCTCTGGGCCCCGACCTGCTAGGCTCTGCCCCTTGCCCCTGGGGGCCGCTGGGGAGCCGTGACCGCCCGCGGCCCTGCTGGCTCTTGCAACCGGATCCCCAGGGGCGGGGCGGCCAAGGGCACGGGCTGCTGGGCCAGGCCAGGGCGGCTTGGGTTTCAGAGGGAGCCGCTGGGAACGAGCGTGGAAAGAGCAGATGCCGCTGCTTCCCACGGGCCGGGCGGGCCGGCCGCCTGCCCTCCGCCCCGGCCTGCAGCTGCTGCCTCCTCCCACGCGGCGCGGCTGGGGGCGAGGGGGAGGCAGCATCTGGGTCCCAGGCCCCTCTCTCAGGCTGGGGACCCTGCCCTGGCCTCCCGGAAGGCCTTGTCCCCATAACCCAGGCTTCAGTTCCCCCCAGCTCCTCTGCAGCCCTCAGCCCCAGAGGAGGGAGGACTTCGCTGCCCAGAAAGGGACCAAAATCATCTTTGGTTTAATCATTCCCCTTTTTTTGGTTCCTGCGGGTCCCTGGGAAAGGAGAGGCTGGCCAGTTGGCACAAAGGTGTCATCCTTTGGGTAGCCAGCACTTGAGAGGCCCTAATTCAGGTTCCTGGCACCTGCTGGATGCCCTTGGCTCCTCCCCAGCCCCAGGTAGCTCTGCTCCCGGCAGTCACTGGCGCGACAGCTTTATACAGGGCGACTTCCCTGCCATTATGGAATGCATACCGCGACACACCTGAGCAGTAAGGCGAGAGATTTCTTCCCGCCCCCCCCAAACCCGCTCCCCTGGGGCCCCCAGTTCAGGGAAGGAGCCTCCAGTTCCCAGTGCTGGCACTACCTCTGCTCTGCCTCATCAAAACATACCCCTGGCCCCTCTCTGTACCTGGCTTGGTTGTTTCTTCCTTCCCTCCTCCCTTCTTCAAGAATTGTTTATTTTTTATTGGAAAAGCAGATTTATAGAGAGAAGGAGACAGAAAGATCTCCTGTCCACTGGTTCACTTCCCAAGCGGCCACAACAGCCAGAGCTGAGCTGATCAAAAGCTAGGAGCCAGGAGTTTCTTCTGGGTCTCCCAGGCGGGTGCAGGGTCCCAAGGCTTTGGGACATCCTCTGCTGCTTTTCCAGTCCACAAGCAGGGAAGTGGAGCAGCCAGGATACGAGCCAGTGCCCATATATGGGACTCTAGTGCATGCAAGGTGAGGACTTTAGCCACTAGGCTACTGCGCTGGACCCCACCTGGCTCCTCTTCAACCTGCTGCAGCCCAGGTCCACGCTGCAGGCAACGCAGACATTCCAAGGCCAATCTGATCTGATCATTCTCTTAGAAAATCTGGAGCCCACCTCCCAGAACTTTTAGGATCCACACCAATGTGCCCAGAGGGGCCCTGTCACCTCTTAGAACTCCACTCTCTCTCGCTCTGTACTTTCTGGGGTTTCCCAGGCAGTACCCTCACCTAGCAGTCTCTAGCTCACCCCATCTCCCTGACCGTAGCCACTTCTATCAACCCCCCAGACTTCAACTCACGTGTTACCTCCCAGGGGAGGCTTTTCTGCCTGCCCTTTCCTCTAGGGCACTTCTTGCCGGCATCCCACACACAATATTCATGCCAGCTGGCATATGTGTCTCTGATCACTGGATTAGTGTACATCTCACCAACAAATCCCTGTGCTCCACAAAGCTGGAAACCATGTGTGTTCCATGTACCGACACAGCCCAGGACTCTGCTAGGGCCTGGGACACGCTGGAGCTCACAGCAGAGCCTCCCCCTCGGGCCCTGGTTTTGGGGTACCACTGGGGGACTAGAGAGGCGGGCGTCGCACAGTGTGTGTCCCGGGCTTTTTGGAGTGGGAGTTCATGTGGCCCATGTGATGCCCTTTGGACATTTGTGGCTGCGCCCTTTTCAACAATGGCTCAGAGAGAGAAAAGGTGGTGGAGAGAGCAAACAGCATGTGTTAGAGGCTGCTGCCATGCTTTGTCCAGCTGCATCTGGAAAGGGGTAGCCTTCATCCAAACATCTGGACCAGCCAGGCTGGTAAGAGACCTGGGAAAGTTCCTGGGAAGCCTGAGGCTCTGCTGCCGGCGTGGGACACCTGGCTGACGGAGTAGTCCTGGTTCCCCGGGAACGGGGCTCACGCGCCAAGGGACACCAAGCAACGCGGCCTTTGTTCTCCCACTCCTGATAAAGCGTCTCTCGGGGTATTGGGTTAACCCCATGCACGTCACTGCCCCTCGGCCTGATCCCTCCTCAGGGACCACCTGGCAGGGCTCCGCACGCCCGCTTCAGGGCTAGGTAGCTCTGTCGTCCCTTCCTCCAGGCTCCTGGTCTGTGCTTTTTTCCCCACCCTCTGCAGTACTACCTGCCCCCTGCCCCAATCTCACAGACAAACCTCACTTGGCCATTCACTTGGGAGCCTTAACAAAAGCCCCATTTTCCAGATGGGGCTGCTGGACCTCAGGGAGCTGAAGCAGTTCGCCCAGCCTCCGCAGCTGCTAAGGAGCAAGGCCAGCTTGGGTATCTGCGTCTTCTGGCTCCGCATTCAGCATTGTTCTCCCTTCTAATTCCCACTTCCTGTCTGTCTGAATGGCCCTCCAGTCCCCCAGCCTTAGAGCTCCCCAGAGCTCTGCAGCAGCCACCAGCGGAGCTGCTTCCAACCTGCGGTCTGCTCCGACAGCAGGAGGAGGTACAGGAGCTAAACATAAGACTGATGTTAACTTCTTCCCAGATCCTGCCACGGGCCTCCAGCAGCTCTTCGCCAGAATTCTGGGGTAGTCTTTTTGTTGGTGGTTGGGGGGTGGGAAAAGGGACAAGACAGTGTTCTAGGAGGTCTCACTGCCAGTCCTGACCCCTTCAGTGCCTACCCCGCCCCACCCTGCTCCTTCTCCCCCCGCCCCCCGCCCATGGAGCCTGTACAGATGACCCTGTTCATGTCACACTGACCAAGGGCCGGATCACAAGAGAGAAGGGTCATCCTCAGATCACAAGGCAAACCAAAGGCAGGTCCTGAAGTAGATCTAGGTCCACCAGCTCCTGACCCAGCACGGCGGCCCTGGCACTGGCAAGTCTTCATCAAGAACTCTTTGTTCCAGCCTGCAGTGAAAGGGTTGTTTGGGCCATTTCACATTTAGGAGAAAAATGGGGTGCCAGACCTCAGGGGTTAAGAAGCGTCCCCTGTGGGGCCAGTGTCGGAGTGAAGGAGGTTAAACCTCCACCTCTGGCCAACAGCATCTCGTATGGGTGCCAGTTTGAGTCCCCAGCTGCTTCACTTTCTATCCCATCCAGCTCCCTGCTTATGACCTGGGAAAGCAGTAGAAAATGGCCCAAGTGCTTGGGCCCCTGCACCCACGTAGGATACCCAGAAGAAGCTCCTGGCTCTTGGCTACAAATTGACTCAACTCAGGTCATTGTGGCCTGAGCTGAAAAGGGAGGGAGATCTCTCTGTTTCTCCTTTTCTATCTCTGCCTTTTTGACAAAAATAAATAAATCTTACAAGAAAAAAATGACTCATGGGCCTAGTGTGATGGCCTAGTAGTTAAATCTTTGCCTTGCATATACCAGGACCCCATATGTGTGCTGGTTCGTGTCCTGGCTGCTCTACATCCCTTCCAGCTCCCTGCTTGTGGCCTGGAAAAGTAGCAGAGGATGTCCCAAAGCCTTGGGACCTTGCACCTGTGTGGGAGACCCAGAAGAAACTCCCAGCTTCGGATTGGCTCGGCTTTGGTCACTGAGGCCACTTGGGGAGAGAATTAACTGATGGAAGATCTCTCTCTCTCTCCTGTAAATTTGACTTTTTTTTTTAAAGACTCATGCCTGTAACGCTGCTTGCAGATGCTCAGTGGCTTTCATCAGACCACGCACGTGGTCTCGGGCACACAGCACCCCTAACTGGATGGTGTCCCCTTAGCAGCCTTTGTGGAAGTCACCTTGAGCCAAAGCTGTGTGGTTTCCACAAGTTATCACCTCATCAAAGCCTCGGCCTGACACAGGCATTATCCCCCTCGCGTTTTGCAAGACAGAAAAGCCAGGTTCAGAAAGGGGTAAAGCCACACAGGGGAGTCAAACCTGGGTCTCTCTGACTTCAAAGGCCACTGTGTAGGAAGGGACCCACAGACCCTGAACTGGAGCCAGACATGGGACAGGTGCTCATTAACTGTTGCAGAGGAGTAGGGCAGAGGCTAGATTCACAATCTGGACCCAACTTGTGTCCAGGCCAGGTTCATTCAGGGACTCCGGGGAGAGTGACGCGGATGGGGCTGGACACAGCCACCAGGAAGATGCCCGTGGAGCCAGTGGGACACACTGTGCCTTGTATCACTGGGTCTCTGAATGTGGGGGTTTGCACCTGCTGCTGACCCCAGAGGGACTGGATGTTGTAACACTCTCCCCATAACCATGGCCCTTGTCACTGCTTTTCTGGCTTTCTTTGCCTAGCTAGTTCTTCTCCCCAGAGGGCAGAGGCTGAGCAGGACACATCTGGGTCCCTCCAGGCAAACCCAGGGTCGGGACCACAGCAGGCATGGCTCGGAGTGCCCTGAATGGAAGCATTGATGTTTGCTGGGGGGAGGGATCTTTGGGGAGGGCCACAAAGAGGCATCTATGAGCCAGCCTCTGCCACATGTCCAACTGCTTCCCCGCCTCGCCAGGGTCGGCCTCGCTGAGCACACTCCCTGCCAACGGGCTCCGGGCTCCGGCAGATACGGGAAAGAATTCCACTGACCCTTTACATAAGCCTTAGCTCAAAGGCCACATCACCTTCAAGAAGCCCTCACCTGCTGGGCTGAGTTGTGAGCGGCCCCCTCCCCACCAGGTGCCCTCACAGCCCACAGTCGGTCCCTCTTTGCACCTGGGCCTTTGAGTGGCCTGGCAGGTTCCTGGGCAGGCTACAAACCTGTGGAAGACAGAAGCCAGTTCTGATCCATCCTGCTATCTGCCACTGGCTTTGGACCTCTGATTCCTGAAGACACAGTCACACCGGAATCTGGGACCCTGCATCACCTGCCCTGTCCCCACTAACACATGGTGTTGGATTCCTCCCTTTCCTTTAATGAGCCCTGAGTCAGAGAACTGCTTATCTAAACAGAAGTTTCCTTTCCTTTCCAAAATCAGAGTTACAGAAAGAGGAAGAGAAAAAAGACCTTCCATCCACCAATTCACTCAGATGGCTGCAATGGCGAGCTCTGGACAGGCTAAAGTGTGAAGCCAGGAGCTTCATATGGGTTTCCCACGTGGGTGGCAGGAGTCCAAGCACTTGGACTGCCTTCCCAGACCACCATCAAGTTGCCGGATGGGAAGTGGAGCAGCCACAAATGATGCTCAAAGCTGTGATGCTGGCATCACAAATAATAGTTTAACCTGCAACACCAAAAGACTGGCCCCTAAAGAACAATTTCTAATCAACTATATTAGAAAGTTTAATATGTTGCCTAAGAAATTGTATCATACATCCCAAATGCTAAGGTAGCGGAGGTAAGAAAGATTTACCACCCTTCACCCTTTGATAGCTATTCTTGGGGGTTGGTTTTGCATTTTGCTAGAATTCATCTTTGAATAGCATCGCTGGTCACAGAACATAAGAGTTGTGGTACAGCAGTTTAAGCCACCACCTGGGACACTGGCATCCCAAGTGAGTGCTTGTTCAAGTCCCCGCTGCTCTGATCCAGCTCCTTGTCAAAGCAGCAGACGATGGTCCCCCTACTTGGACCCTTGCATCCATACGGGAAACCACAGAGTTCCAGCTAGTGAATTAGCTCTCACTTTTTCTACCTCTGCTTCTCTCTGTAACTCAGATGCTCAAATAAATACATAAATCTTCAAACACAAAAGAGAGGGGCTGGTATGGGGGTCTACACTTGCATTCTTGCTCCTTGCTAATGTTCCTAAGAAATCAGCATGAGATGACCCAAGTGCTTGAACCCCTGCGTCCATGTGGGAGACGGAAAAGAAGCACCTGGCCTTGATTTGGCCCTGCCCTGGCTCTCACAGCCATTTGGCTCTTTCTCTGTCTCTCTCTCTCTCTCTGTCTCTGTAACTCTGTCTCACAAATAAATTAAAAAAAAAAATCTTAAAACAACAACAACAAGAAGAAATGAGTATAGAAATTACTGAAATGCCCTCAAAATACCCCTAGGAACACACCGAATCCTCCTCTATCCAAGAGTCAGCTTTGGTCCAGCCAAGCCTTCCCCTTCCACCCCTGTCCTCCTGTAACCCACCGATGGGCAACAGGCTGGGGCAGGAAAAGCAGCTGCTCAAAGCCGGCAGCCTGGGGCTGGGACCCTGGCCTGTGGGCTCCCAGTTAGTCCGGCAGTTCTGACAGGGTGTGCCAGACACTAATTAAACACCTGCCATGCACCAGGAGTGTGCTAAGCCCTAGACATGTATTATCTCAGTTGATTATCCCAATATGCCTTGTGAAGTCGGTTCTATTATTTATACGCATTTTACAGATGAGAAAAATCGAAGCATAGAGGGTTCACAGAGCCAGGAGATAACCGAACCACACGAGCGCCATGTGTTCCATAGGCTTGAATCAGGTCATTTCACTGACCAGACACTGAGGGATGCTGGCGGTGGGTCATCAACTGGAAAGACACTAGAATTGGAGCCAGAGCCCTCGCTGGTCAGTGTCTATTTTCTTCTGGTATTCAATCCCAATTGCCAAAGTCCCATTTTGCTCAAAGGAGAAGAGATTCCCCGGCCCCAAACCCTCCCAACCACCTCCAAAGGAACTGCACCCAGGCCAGGGTAAAATCAGGAAGGAATGCTTATTCTGTAGATGCAGCAAATTCCGGTCAGGGGGTGCGGTCCCCCAACCTGTGGCGGTTTCAGGAAAACTTCTCACCAATGCCTCCACAACCCAGGCATTTCACCCGAAGAAGCACCCCACCCACCCCACCCCGGCCTTCAGAACGCTGGAGTGGACTGCACCTGGGTCCCGGCACCTCAAGAACGCCCTGGAACCCCAGGCACAGGAGCGGCCGGCAGCGCAGCCAGCCCCCGCCCCTGCGACACCTGCGCACCGCCGCGTGCACCTGCGCCTCCCACCCCGCCGGCCCCTCGGCGCCGTCGGCCGGGCCAACCCTTACCTCAGCTCGCCCTCTCGGCCCACGTCGATGGGGCCGTCGGACTCGCCGTCCGAGCCGCTGGGCTCCAGGGGCCGCTTCATGGCGAGCGCCGGCAACCAGCTTTCCAGCCCCGCGGCGGCGGCGGCTCCGAGTCCGCCAGTCGCGCCCCGCCCCGGCCCCGCCCCGGGGCGCCACCCCCGCCGCCGCCGCCCTTTCCCAGGGCCCTGTCCTACGCCGCAGCCCCGGGCGCCCCGGCGCCCCGCGCCCCCGCCGTGACGCGCCGCCGAGCCGTGGGAAGGCCCGGGGCGGTCGCCGCCCCCACCGACGGCTGGGAGGTCCGGCTCGGCTCCTCCGCCGCGGCCGTCGCGCGCTGGGTGGCCTTGGGCAGGTGCCCTGGGAGGCCCTGTGGAGGGGGGAAGCCGGGGGTCCCCGCGTGGCCCTGGTTGGCCCCGGGGGGTGCCGCCGGCCTGAAGGGCTGTCCCTCTCCGCCCCAGTCTGCTCCCTGTGTGTAGTTCTGGGGGCAGTAGATGTGTTTGGTTGGACGAGACTGACCGCGTTAGCTGGTAACCCCTGACAAGAATTCCCCAACAGCTCCTCCCCGGGGGGACCAGGGTCCATGGAAGGTGAAGGGAAGACCGGTGAGAGATGGCATTTCCACTCCCCTTCTGTCCCAAAGGAACTGTTGAAGTTATCCCCGGACCTGACTTGGTGGGGGTAGGGAGAGGGGCGACGATGGTGGTGGGAGGGTTGCCATGGTGGTGATGGCGGTGTGGTGGCGGTGATGCAGGTTAATGTTACATTAATGTTAATTCTGTGGGCAGATGCCACCCGGGGGGACCCCCAGGATGCTGGAGGAAGCTGAACGGTGGTGGGCTTCTTGGAAAAGGGAGGGGATGGTGAAGCCGGCTTTGGGGTGCTGGAGGAAGAACCAAAGAAAGCTCTGCCCTTTCACCCACACATGAGAACAGAGGGAAGTCCCTGGCAGTTGGCAGGTGGTGTTGACCCTCGGAGAAGAACTGTGTTTTTTGCCACCGTGGAATGACCGACCTGTTGAGGTCTCTTGGTACCTCCGTCCGCAGGTAGCCCCCTGGGCCCCATCCCAAACCGTGCAGACAGACCCTCAGACACACTGACACACAACTGGCATGAGAAGTCTTGGCAGTCACCCAGCTACACCTGCGGCCTCTCTTGCTCCAAATGCCTTCAACTCTCAACTGCCCTTTGTGGGGCACCTGCCAGCGGCCCTGGAAACACCCAGTCATGTGGAAATTGCCCAATCCATGCACTGTAAAAGCCAGAAAGCACAGAAGGCTCCCGTGCACCTGTCTGGTTGCCTGAGCTGGCCAGATTCTCAGGGTGCTAGTCAGGGCTGTGTAATGGACACATTCATGTCCCAGATCACCAAGTAGAGTGCACAGTTAAGTAAGGAGCCTGGAATCCAAAAAAAGCGATCTAAGCTGCACGCTTGTGTTTGCGTCTAAAGCCTAGAAGCAGAGGAGGCCCCCCCAAAGGGGCAGTTGGAGACAGAAGAGGGGCACAGTTGATGTTTCCTGTTGAGCGAGTACTGACGGTGCTACCTGAAACTGTCCTCAGTGTTTCGTAAATACTAACCCGTGTCATCTTCAACAGCCTATAAAATGGTATGATAATCATCACCCCCTTTGTAAATGAGAAAGAAAGGCGCAGAGAGATGAGTAACGCGTGCAAATAAGGTCGACAGGTTGTAAATAGAAACGCTGGAGCTCTTCAAGGCCGCTGGGGTTCAAGCCAATCCACTCATCTTTACTCTTGGGCAGCACGCTCCGCCCAGGGCTGTCCGTTAGTGCAGCAGCCGTGAGCTGCGCATGTGGCCGGCCTGTGTTGGGCATGCGCTAGGTGTGAAACACATCCCAGGATCCTTTAACAAGTGCATTATTCCATGGATTCCTCTAAGGTTGATTACTAAGTTGAAATGACAGTATTTTAATGTATTGGACTGCATTTGTTTGTAAAATTATCTTCTTTCCTCTTGGATGTTTAAACATGTGGTTACTACAACACTTCTGATTGTGTATACAGCAACCATGCAACCATGCTATTTCCGTTGGGCAGTGCTTTCCTAGTGCAGAGTTCCTTCACTGTACTCGCTGACATGTGGGGCTGGAGAAGGCTTCATGGTGTGTGCTGCTCTGTGGACTGTTAGGTGTTTGACATCCTTCCTGCCCTGTGTCCACTGGATGCCAGTGGCACCTTTCCCGTGCATGACCGTAGAAATAGCTCCAGATAATATTAAATGTCTTCTGGGGGCAGAGATTGTCCCTGGTTGAGAGCCGCCAATCTCCATGAATTAGAATGAGTGGAACAGAAGTAACAGTTAGGAAAAAAGATTGAATGAAAACAGAGAGGCAAAGCAGGACCAAGAGTGGGTGTGCCAGGAGCCAAAAATAAATAAAATCAAAGCATGAAACTTCCAGGCGTCAGGCAGAGCATGTTCCTGCTCAAAACTCGGCCACTCCCGCTTCTCACCCTGCCCCTCGTATGTCCTGCTTGGTCCCATCTCAGGGATTTGTGTTTCTGGGTTGCTTCTTCCTGAGTCTCCTTGTACTGCGTCTTAGGTTAGCTCACTGCCTTCAGGGCTTTGCTCACAAGGCTTGTCTTAGGAGAGAGCTACTCAAGCAAGCCTGCGTTCTCCCAGCCCCACTTTGCCCCCCCCCCCCCCGCCCCGTCTCCCAGCCCCGCTCTGCCCCTCCTCCCCACCATCTCACTCCCTCACGGAACTTGTGCTCTCGTGTCCTTTCTGTCTGGGAGCCACAGAAGGTAAGCTCCCTAAGGGTAGATGGCGGGGTCTTCTGCAGCTCTGGCTGCTGGAACTGAGCCTGGCCTGAAATAGATGTGCAGTATTCACTTGCAGGGGAACAAATTTCTCTCTCTCTCTCACACACACACACACACACACACACACACACAACTTGTCTGAGAAGGGAGAGTCAGGCAGGCCCGCAGCTTGGGGCATGTGGAGCTGGAGGGTTTCGGCTGTCGCCTTGCTCCAGGATGGAAGAGAACAGAGCAGGCTTCAAGGGGCAGGAAGCACACACTTCAGGGTCCCTTTGTGAAGGGGTTTCCCGTTAGCTGTGAAGTTCTTGGGGATAAGAAAGACTTTACTGTTGCTTGTTAAGTCCCATAGTGTTTCGCACATATAAGGTGTTCTAAAATGTTTCTTAGGCAAATACATAATGCTAATAATGCAAGTAGATATTATCATCAGCATGTACAAGGCACTCTATTAGTATTTTTTTCCTCAAGAAAGATTTATTTATTATTTGAGATGCACAGTGAGAAAAGTGAGAAACAAAGAGATCTTTCATCTGTTGGCACATTGCAGCAATTGGGGCTGGATCAGACTGAAGCCAGGAGCCAGGAACTCCATCATGGTCCCCTGTACGGGTGGCAGGGAGTTTAGTGCTTGAGCCATCATCTGTTCCTCCCAGGCACATTAGCAGGGAGAGGCATTGGGAGTGGGGGTGCATTTTTTTTTTTTAAAAAGTATTTATTCATTTTTATTGCAAAGTCAGATATACGGAGAGCAGGAAAGACAGAGAGGAAGATCTTCCATCCAATGATTCACTCCCCAAGTGACCGCAATGACTGGTACTGCGCCAATCCGAAGCCAGGAGCCAGGAACCTCTTCCAGGTCTCCTATATGGGTGCAGGGTCCCAAAGCTTTGGGAAAACCTCAACTGCTTTCCCAGGCCACAAGCAGGGAGCTGGATGGGAAGTGGAGCTGCCGGGATTAGAACTGGTGCCCATATGGGATCCCGGTGCATTCAAGGCGAGGACTTTAGCTGCAAGGCCACTGCACCAGGCCCTGGAGGTGCATTTTGAACCCAAGCATCCTGGTAGAGAATATGATCATCCGAAGCAGCAGCTTAACCCCTTTTGTCACCAGGCATTTTAACATACACTAACTCATTTAAACCTAACAACACTACAGTAAAAGTTACTGCCATCCCATTTTATCGTAACTTACCCAAGGTCCCACAGCTCCTAAGTGGTAGACATGGGATCTAACCAGGCAGACTGGTACCAGCATCCATGCAGGTGTGGCCACTGTATCATGTGTTTGATGGGATGGACCCATCAGGAGATTTAACAATAGGTTGTGAAGACTGACTGGAGGCGAGAGAAGGAGAGGAACAGGACCGCACGAGGCTGGGCTCCTGTCCGGGTACGGAAGAGGGAAGGTGACAGGTATGACAGGTGGTGACGGGAACCATTGGTGAAGGTAAGAAGTCCAGCATGGCTGTGGTATTCAGGGGACACAGAGCAGTCCCATGAGGGAACCCTGGAGAGAGCCCTGGGTTGGAGGAAAGATGCCAGGCCTGGGGCACTCCAGGAGCTGGTATAGAGAAGAAAGGAGGAGAACCCAGGAGAGGACTGTAGGGAACAAGGGCCCCAGGAAGCTCTGGGAATAGGGAGTGGAGCCAGGCCAGTAGAGGCATGAGTGGCTAAGGCAAGAGGGGCTGAGAGAGGAAGAGATCCATCAGGATGTCCCCGAGGCCTTGGTGATCATGAGTGGAGGGCCAGGCCCCATTATCAGACAGCATCTGGCAAAGGATGCACAGACAAGGTGGGGATGAGCCAGGGCACCGGGGGCAGCTTCAGTGCCCAGCAGGGACGCGGAGACATCTGTTCGCTGGTGGCTGGGGCGCGGGAGCAGGCAGAAGGATGAGTTCCAGGGCCCTAGAATTCTGTAGCAAACAGAGGGTGACGGGGGGGGGGGGTCTCTGCCCTCACTGCTTCCCCAGTCCTCTCCCCTGGAGCTGAGCATTTGTCAGGGTCAAGTCCCAGCTCCACTGAGCCTGTCTCTGCCCTTGACCTTCACCCTAGACCTGCTCCCATCTTCCCTTGGGGCTGGCACTGGGATTAGGAAACAGACAAGGTCCAGCTCCACACTTGCAAGCTGGCCTGTAGGAAGACTGTGTGCCAGAGCAGGGTTCTGGAGACTTCTGCCAGGTCAGCTGCTGAGGTACACAGCTGCTGCTAGTAGTTAACAATTGTACAGTCAACTAAGCCTGAACTCGGACTGAACTGTAAGTCCTGTAAAAGCAGGAACCGTGTAGGT